TTGAAATCCCCACAGGATATTTTGTGGTAAATAACAAACTCGTTTTAAAATTTAAGTGGAAATACAAAGGGTCAGGAGTAATGAAGACAATCCTGAAGAAGACTCGTAAGATACTACCTGAGAGGATATGAGGAAGCTACAATTCAATCCCTGTTACACTGTACGGAGACAGAAATGGAATATGGAGTAGAAAACAAATGACCTATTTATTAAATGGTTGTGTGGCAATTGATTATCTATAAAGAATAAACTTGGATTCTTTCCTCATATCTATAAGAAAATCTATGTAGATTTAAATTGAATATCAGAGAAAAATAAAAAATTTGAGAAGACAGTGTAGGAGAATATCTTTATGATCTCAGGGAGGGAATATTTCTTAAGATACAAAAAGCACAAAATATAAAGGAAAAGATTAATAAATTGGGACTACCATTACAGTAGTTAAAGATGACTGTCCATCAAAATCAAGCCTTAAAGTAGGAGTTATTTGTGAAACCTAACTTCTGTAGGGTTAAAATACAAAAAATATAAAGAACTCTTATAGGGCTCCTGGGTGGCTCAATAGGTTAAGCCGCCTTTGACTCAGGTCATGATCCTGGAGTGCCAGGATGGAGCCCCCTCTGGAGCCCCACGTGGGGCTCTGGGCTCAGCGGAGAGTCTGCTTCTCCCTTCTTTCTGTCCCTCCCCCTACTTGTGCTCACTCTCTCTCTGTCTCACTCACTTGGTCTCACTGTCTCAAATAAAGTCTTTAAAAAATAAATTTTAAAAAAAGGAACTCCTACAAATCAGTAAGAGAAAGGCAACCCAGTGAAACGCTACACCGAAGACAGGAATAAGCATTTCACAGAAGAAACCCAAATGGCTCGTAAACATTGGAAAAGATGCTCAACCTTTTTGGCAATCAGAGAATTGCAAATTAAAACCACAGTATCATTTATCACCCACTAGACTGGCAAATGTTAAAATGTCTGACAATAACAAGGGTTAGCCAGAGTGTGGAGATTTAAGAAGTCTCTCACACAGCTGATGTAGTAGAAATTATTGTAACCACTTTGTAAAAACAAGTTGGCAGTGCCTAGTAAAATCGAATGTGCGTAACTCATGATCGGGTAATTCCATTCTGATGAAAGAAACTCTTACACATGGCCTTCTGGAGACCCGGACAAGAAAGCTTATAGCACCATTGTGCGTGAGAGGGAAAAAATGGAAGCAACCCAAATGTTCATCAGCAATGGAATGGATATATAAATTATGATGTAATTAAGCAGTGAGATACAATCAGTTGGTGAAAAAAATGTATGACTTACAGATACATATATCAATATGGATGATTTGTAACAATTTTAAGTGAAAGCAAGTTGCAGCAAAATATATCTAAGTCTATATAGGTTTTAAACATGTATTAAATAAATCATGTATTATTTATACATAATTGCTAAAGTAATAAAATCAAAGACATGATTAATACAGAATCCAGAATACAGGTTACCAGGAGAGGAGCAGGTATGGTGGAGAGGGAGCTCTTAGCATAAGATCCCACTGCAAGGCTTCAGAGTGACTCCCATATTTCTGTTTCTCAGACAGAATAGAGGGTAGATGGGTATTTGTTTTATAACTGTTTAAACTGCACATGCACATTTTATATACTCGGATATGTATTTTTTTTATTGTAACCTGTAGTATTTTTAAGAGATGGTAGGAAATGGTTTGAAATTCAGTAATGTTGATTAAGGTACTGAAAATGCACAAAGTTTGAAAATCATCACCTATGAGTGTGTTGGGAAAGATGTACCTTTTCAGATTAAGGCCTTTCCATATGTTTATTAATTTTAGAGTCCAGGTGATGGGAAGGTACAGAGATGTAAAATGCTGTGTTTGGCAGAGTAGCTTAAACGAGGTGTGAAAGACACCAGTCTGTACCCAGACTACCTTTCTTCCTCACTTCTGTAAATATTGAATGACTAACCGCCCAGTCCTAGGCATTGTCCCAGGGGCTCAGGAGCTGGAGAGGAGATGTCCCTATCTTGGAGCTTCTAACCATTTTTGCATTCAGGATTTCAGGCTTTGTTAATCTTAGCCTCCTAAACTAGCTAGATAGCAAAATTCACGTCAGGTGCATATCCTAATTTACTCTTTGATATCTTCTTAAGGAAGTTATTTATTTACATATTTAGACAACCTAATTGAATACGTTATCTTTAAAATTTTCAGAGTAATCCTTTTTAGTTTGGTCCTTAGTTCATATTCTAATTTCTATATATACTTATTCTCAGTTTTTTCCCTTTCTGTGCATATCAGAACTCTTGATATGTTCTAATTATTTGGCATTGACTTTGATGTATTAGTTTTACCTTTCAGTCTATATTTTTGAGACTCAAAGTTGCATCTGATGTTAAACCTTGGTTTTAAAGCAGAGTTCTCAAAAGCATTACAAGCATACTGCTAGGGATTATAAGGTGATAAAGAGGGAAACATTTAATCATCAGGTAATTGTTTTAATTTAATTTGTAATTGTATTATAAAATATACACTGAAAATCTGTGATTTCTTTTTTTTTTTTTAAGATTTTATTTATTCATTCATGAGAGAAACAGAGACATAGGCAGAGGGAGAAGCAGGCTCTCTGAAGAGAGCCTGGCACGGGACTTGATCCCAGGACCCCAGGATAACAGCCTGAGCCAAGGGCAGATGCTCAACCACTGAGCCACCCAGGTTCCCTGAAACCTCTGATTCCATGGCTGTTTTTGCTCAGGATGCAGCTAAAGTAGTCTCTCTGATTATCCATCTCACATAGACTACGTGAATTAATGTCCCAGGTGGTTCTCAGACATAACAAAATATCATGAAATTAATATGTGGATTACAGATTTAGTTGTAAAAGTGAATCAAGGTATTCTCTGATGTTCTCTGTATCGTACTTGTGTTATAACTCAAAAAATAAGCTTATGTGATTTGGCCAGGAAAAAGCAATGTAGAAAATTCATCTAGGCAAATTGCTCAAATAACATGTTCTATTACAGGACAGATTCTGGGACTATAAAGATGAATAAGACACAGATTCTACTTTTTCAGGAGCACTAGTTTCACAGAGATAGACACATAAATTAAAAAGTGCACCATAGCATGATTAAGCATAGCAGTGGAAACATGCACAATAAACAGGTACGTGGAAAAGGTGGTCTCTGACTTATGGAGCCAGGAGGAAGCCCAGGGCAAGGCTTGCAAGGAGTCTGCAGACCTGAGCAGAAAACCTACAGAAAAATAGATAGGCAAAGGGCAATATCAGAATGGCATGGTGTTTGGGCTGAGTAGCTAGCTCCTCATGTACGTACTAGGAAGAGGAGAGATGGGAGCCAGATAGGAAGGCTTTTGTATGGGATGTGATGGTACGTGTTTAGACCTCATTCTGTAAGTGATTATCAGCCTTTGAAAGGTGTTAGCCAGAAGTGACACAAGGCCTGGGGCTGTGTAGAAAACAGATGAGAGGGGAGGGTCAAGTCACATTTCAGCCTGTCATTAGGCAAAAGGGAGAGAAAGCGCGTGGTGTGGGGGGTGTTTAACATTTCTGCTTTGTTTAGCTTTGTAGGACTTTTAGGAAATCAGATTACATTTAGATTTTGCCCAGAATTTAATGTGTTAAAGGGGTTAGTGATAGGTGATTTGGAGCCAATATACGAAGTTTCTGAAGAAATTAGTATTATTTAGCCTGTGTTATAAACAAGGTAGTAATTTTCCCTATATAGTCTTTTTTTTTTTAAGACTTATTCTGGAGGAGGGGGGGAAGAGCAGAGGGTGGGGAGGTAGAGGTGGGGGAAAAGGAGAGAGTCTTTAGTAGACTCTGTGTTGAGCATGGAGCCTGACATGGAGCTCAATCCCATGACCCTGAGATCATGACCTGAGCCAAAATCAAGAGTTGGATGCCTAATGATTAAGCCACCTAGGTGCCCTTTCTTTCCTTACATAGTCTTAAAGGCAAAGAGAGTTTTGCTTATTTTATGTTAAATACATGCAAGCAGCATATAAATATTAAATGGAGATGTGGTATTGATAAGGCCCACAGCTGCAAACAAGTTCTGTTTTTCAGTTAGAGTGGAACATATGGTAGTACACTGTAGAGAGTGTAGAATGAAATACTTACATCTTTTTGCAGTTAATATCCTTCCAAAGAAAGTTCAACAACCATGTCATTTAAAGGAAATTGGCTGAGCAATAATATCAATGTATGAAGAGCCTCCTTTATATATGGGTTTCCAATGTGAATGTTCTGGATAACTTAGTTGTGGCGTATTGTTCACTTTTGTGCATATTTACTGTTAAATCTTAGACTCACTAGTTTTTGGATTTGATGTATTTTCTTCTTCCTTACAGAGAAATGTATTAGTATGCCAACTTACTCTTGTACCTTCAGCGTAACTGAATTTTATAGTCACGGGTCTGATGCTGACTGCCTGTGTATATGAGGGCACTCGTCTGTGTCTGTATACATAGCCAGACCCTTAGCACCAAATGTTCTGCCTCACATTTATTTTCGGAATATTCTCTTAATAGGCACGTTTTGGGATGTGACTTAGTCAGCTAATTTGCTAACATTCAAAAGCCACGAGCTCTCAGCATTATCTTAGCCTTTTAGTATTTTAGTCCAGCAAAAATTTCTGACTCTGATTGGGAAATTAAGTATAACATCTTACAAAAAATTATCCAGAAGCATCAAAAGGGAGAGTTCATGCAAGGGGCACAGAGAGAGGTTTAAAAGGAAAGTTAACATTAACGTAGAGTGCACCATAGAAATGAGGGAGTAAGCATAGAAATGAAGGACCACAAGTGTCCTTGGAACAACTGTAGGTTTCTTTCTATAAAGCCCAGTAATGTTGATTATAATGCATCTTAGTTTTTATTTCAAAAGAAATTTTCTGCAGTTCTTGTCACCAAGTTCCTTTGGAATTCTTTTTTATTCTTTTGAAGATTTAGTTTCTTATTTCCTTATTTTCTACTTTGAACAGAAATCCCCTGCAAAGAAGCTGAGCCATGCAATTAGTAAATCTTTGGGGTGTGTACCCACCAGAGAACCTCCGCATCCTGTTTTTCCTGAGCAACCAGAGAAACCACTTGACCTTGCAAATATTGTGTAAGTATACACCTGGATATGGATATGGATTATACTGAAATGGAGACCTTGCTGAATTCTTTTGGATCAAAACCAACTTTACCTAACATGAGCATTTAACCGTCTGATTTATACTTTACTTTTGGGGGAACTTAGGACTTCAAGATTTCATTTTTTTAAGTCACCATAAATATTTACGTGGAAGGCTAGCTCCTGAGCCCTGAAGCCTAAGTAATATAATGATCTCAAACAGAAACATTAATTAATATATTAAAGAGTGATTATTGAACCGGTTTTAGCAAGGTTGCCTTTTTTTGTTTGTGTGTTCTTCCTTAAATCAGCATTAGAGATCAGATTCTCTGCAGCAATGATGCCTATAGTTATTTTTAAAAATAGTTTAGGCAACATGGAAATGAAAATCAACTTCATTTGCTTCTTTGTATTGAGAGAAAATTAGGAAACATGAGATTGTATACTATAAATAAACTAGTGTTTTATTTTTATTTTCTTTGAATATTCATGTTAAATGAAAGGAAGCTAGACAGGAACAAAAAAGAGAAGCAGAGAAAGAGGAAGAGTATGAAGGAGAAACAATGAAGTGTTAAGATTCAGCCTCTAAACTGAATTCTTCACTCTGAATTAAATGGTGATATTGTATGTACTACTGGATAAAGTCAGTAGGATTTTTTTGTTTTGTTTGTTTGGTTTGTTTTGGTTTGTTTTCTAGAGGGGTGGGCAGAGAGAGAGAGAGAGAGAGAGAAAGAAAGAAAGAAAATCTTAAGCAGGCTCCATGCCCAGCATGGAAGCGTGGAGCCTGACATAGGGCTCGATCTCACAACCCTGAGACCATGACCTGAGCTGAAATCAAGCATCAGATGCTTAACCAGCTGAACCATCCAGGTGCCCCAGAGTTGGTAGTGGGTTTTTTTTTTTTTTTGAAGATTTTATTTATTTATTAGAGACATAGAGAGAGAGAGAGAGACACAGGCAGAGGGAGAAGCAGGCTCCATGCTGGGAGCCCGGTGTGGGACTCGATCCTGGGTCTCCAGGATCAGGCCCTGGGCTGAAGGCAGCGCTAAACCGCTAAGCCACCGGGGCTGCCCGAGTTGGTAGGTTTTTGATCATTAGTCTTTACTGGGTGTTGAGAGGTTTTTCTGTTGAGTAGACATCTGGTTTCTTTTACCTCCCTAAAAAACACTTAGGGTTCTTGATCTTTTATTTTCTTTCTCATTCAATACTTTGAAAAACTTTTATTAAAATAATGCATATATATAGATTAGAAACTTAATAATACAGAAGAGAATATAATAAAATGCAGCACATCCCACCACACTTCATTGTGCATTGTCTGGGTTTTCGATCTGTGAGTGGATACCTCCATATCTCTAAATAATGTATTGAGAGCCCTAATTCTTGGCTAACCAGTTTGGGACATTATTGAATTCCTTCTGTTGTGCAGGGATCCAGTCTCACTTCTTTCTCTACATGTTAACCCATCCTAGTTTTTCATAATTATATCACCACTTTTAAAGTTGGTTACCTTAGTAATTTTATTTTATTTTTACCTTTGTAATTTTAAACACCATTCCTACGCCTCTGTATCTTGTAACTTCTTTCAACTTACACTGAGTGAACTTAGGAAATAGTATCTTTTGTCTACTTCTCCCTTTTCCTTTTGTCTCTCTGACTTCTGTCATCTCTCTTTTATATTGTCAAATCTGATAATACTTCTGTTCTCTTCTGTGAACATAACTAAGTCTTCTGAGATTTATTAAGAGTTAAATCTAAAATCAGGGGCGCCTGGGTGGCTCCCTGGGTTAAACATCTGAGTCGATCTCAGCTCAGGTCTTTTTTTTTTTTTTAATTTATTTATTCATGAAAGACACACACAGAGAGGCAGAGGGTGACGTGGGACTCGATCCCGGGACTCTAGGATCATACCCTAGGCCAAAGGCAGGCAGGCGCTAAGCCGCTGAGCCACCCAGGGATCCCCATCAGGTCTTGATCTCAGGGTCATGAGTTTAAGCCCCGCACTGGGCTCCATGCTGGATGTGGAGCCTACTTACAAAAAAAAAAGAAAAAAAAAAAGAAAAAGAAAAGAAAAGAGAAAAGAAAAGAAAAAAGAAAAAGTTAAAAGTTGAGGGGCTCCTGGGTGACTACATCGGTTAAACATTGGACTCTTGATTTTGGCTCAGGTCATGATCTCAGGTTCTGCTCTTGAGCCCCCACCTCTGGCTCTGTGCTGGGCGTGGAGCCTGCTTAAGTTCTCTTCCTCAGGGTGCTTGGGTGGCTCAGTCAATTAAATGTCTGCCTTTGGCTCAGATCATGATCCCGGGGCCCTGGGGTGGAGCCCCTGCTTCTCCCTCTGCCCCTCACGCTGCTTGTGTGCACGCTCTCTCTCTCTCTCTCTCATGTTCTCTCTCAAATAAATAAATAAAATCTTAAAAATATATATATATATATTCTCTTTCTGTCTCCCTGTGCCCTTCCCCACACTAACATGCACATGGGCTCTGCCCCCCTAAAAAAAAAAAAAAAGTTGAAAACCAAACACAGCATTTACAATTCAGATTCATTACAGAGTCAGTGTGCTTTGATTCTGTATATTCCTTTGTGTAGTTCCAATGTCCCCATCCCTGTGCAGTTACCTTCCCATCAGAGTAGAGTGGGGTCTTCCTTACACATCACTGATTGCTCAAAATCATGCCTGTGGACTTTATGACTGGATCGACTTTCTTATGCTGGTTTTGTCCTTCCTGTGGTTTCCCACTACTTTCTTCTTCTTGCTGGGGAGAAAAACTGCTTTTGTTCCTCACTGTGTTCCGTAGTGAATTTCATCTATTGCTTGTAATCCGTTTTTTGGTTAAATTTATTAGCCTTTTCTCTTTTTGGTTAGTCTTGATGTTACATTTTATTTAAAAAAAATCTTTGCTGCTTTAATACAATAGTGATTTTCTCTTTCTCACTCTCCCTTTTAGCTATAACAGTGTACCTCTCACTCATGCTTTTTTTTTTTTTTTTAACCTAGGATGGACTTTTGTATATGGTGTGATGTAGATCTGATTTTCTTTCTCTCCTTCTCTTTGCATTTGAATAGTAACTTGTTTCAGGGCCATTTATTGGATGATCTATCATTTCCCTACTGACGTGCAGTGCTACGGTTGTCATGAACCAAGTGTCAAATATGTGTGGTCTGGTTCTGGGCTCTCCTGTTCCTTTGATCACATTTTCTATCCTTATGCCAGTCTCAAACTGTATTAATTATTATAAGGGATTAAGTGGTGTTTTTAGGAATGTCTTGTCTACTCTTTGCCCTTTGCTCTTTCATATAAGTTTTAGAATCAGCCTATTGAGTCCCTCTTAAAATTTTGGTGGAATTTTGAACAGAGATTCATTGAATCTAAAGATCAAATTGAGGAGAGTTGACATCTTTACAGTATTAAGAATGTGTTATGTCTTTCCATTTATTTAAATATAATTTTATGCTTTTCAGTAAAGCTTTGTAATTTTCCCCAGAAAGGTATTATATATGTTAGATTAATTCTTCTATACTTTTGAAGATTCTTCTGTACATTTGTTGTTGCTGTTGCAAATGGTGCCTTTTTTCTCTATAGTTTTTTTGAGATATAATTTACATGTGATAAAATGCACCCACTTCAAGTGTACAGTTCAGTGAATTTTGGCAAATGTATACAGTCATGCAAATGGTATTTTCATTGAATTATGTTTCTCAACAGTGTATTGCTGGGATGTGAAAATGCAAATTTTCTGTATTTTAACCCACTATCTAGTCATCTTGCCTGATGTGCTCATTAATTCTAGTAATTTGTACTTAGATTTTTTTGAATTTCCTATAAATAATTATATCACCAGCAAATAATGATAGTTTTGTTTCTTTCTTCCCACTCCTTATACTTTTAAATATTAATCATATTTTTTTTTCTTTTGGTCTTCTTGCGTTGGCTGGAACCTCCAGTGCAGTATTAAATAGAAGTGGTTTGGTAGGCATTCTTCTTTTATTGCTAATCCCAGAGAGACAGCTTTCAATGTTTATTTAGTGTGTCATTCGATGTAGGTTTTGTAGAAACTGTTTATCAGGTAAAAGAGCTTCCCTTGTATACCTCATTTGCTAAGAGTGCTTTTTTTGGGTCATGAATGGATGTGGAATTTTGTCAAAGACCTTGACATGATCACATGAGTTTCTTTATTCTATTAATGTAGTGAATTACATGAATTTTTTTTAAACAGCCATACATTCCTAAGATAAAGATAAGTTGACTCTCCTTTTAATACACTGCTAGATTTCACTTGCTAAGTTTTGCTTAGATTTTGCCTCTGTGTACAAGTTAAATTGTCCTGTAGTTTCCCTTGCGTTTTGTTCTGTTTTGTTTTGTTTTTAGGACAAAGTTTACCCCGTCTGCTATCTTCAAAAAGTTGAGGAGAATTCTCTTTTATATATATGTATATTTTTTTTTTACTTAATATATTTATTCATGAGAGACACAGAGAGAGAGGCAGAGACATAGGCAGAGGGAGAAGCAGACTCCTCACAGGGAGCCTGATGCAGGACTCGATCCCGGGACTCCAGGATCATGCCCTGTGCCAAAGGCAAGCGCTCAACCGCTGAGCCACCCAGGCATCTCTCTCTTTTTATATTTTTTGAAAGAGCTTATTTAAAATTGAGATTATTTGCTCCTTCAATTTTTGGTGAAATTCACCAATGTTGTTAATCTCTGCCAGAAGCCTTCTTTGTGGGAAAATTTTGAAATGTAAATTCCATTTTTAAAAACAATTATAAGACTTCATTTTTATTTCTTTTTGAGTCACTTTAGAACATATTTGTAGGAATTTGTCAATTTCATTTGAATTTTCAAAGTTATTGGCACACAGTTTGTAACTTTTGTCTATAATATGTATGCTAATGTCCCTATTAAATTCCCACTCTCATGTATTCATGGGTTTTTTTCTCTCTTTTGTTTTTCCTTGAACAAATCTTGCCATAGATTTGTCCAATCTATTGG